CGAAGGCCATCATGGGACCCCTGACAGATGATCAGCGAGTTTGCTGGAGTCGGCTGGGGCGTGGAAGGGATTAACGCACGGATAGACGAGGAGATACCTCGGCGCCTTCCCGTTGCAGAAGTTCACAGGCTCGATCAGCAGAGGACTTGGGACCGTTTGTATGACAACTGAAATGTCGTCAGTCTCTACAGGTCCAGTCTATAAGGCGAAACAACGAACTGTGATCTGTCGACAATTTGATGATGGCGATGAGCAGTTCAGTTGTCAGCGCTGCAGCGAACAAAACCACGAGAGTGTTTCTCAAAGTTTTGTCTGAGTATAGGTTGATCAGGGCATTCGAATTCCGCGGATCCCAGGTGCTTACTGCGACCGAACAGAGCGTGGACTCGGAGTAGCATGATGGCTGCCAACGAAAACTGTCGGTTAGTCTCTTGTCGTAGACCCGCATCTGACCTCACTTTGTGCTCCACCGACACAAACCACGGCTGAATAATAATCAGTCTGACCGCTCGAAGGCTGCAGATGATTAGATAATTCTCACACAAGATCAATCCGACGGCTTGGTGCGCGTAGCCTGAGTTGATTCAGACGTTTTTCGATAAATAACGAACATGAAAATCCGCACACCTGCAGATCGGGGTGGCATCAGCGCTCAGAATTCGGTGGAGTCGAGAACATCACTTACAATGATACAGTAGAAGAGCGGTATATTTGAGCTTGTCCCGAGATAAGTAAACGCCTCGTTGACAAGAAAGTGCGCGCGCTCACAGAATCCCATGAATCCAAGGACGGGAAACGCCAGATATCGATTCTACGGTCAACAGTGTCAGAATTAGGCTTGCATGATATACACAAGGGCAAATTCACGAGGAAAAATATGAGCTTGACAAATGACCAGCTGGCTCCCTATGTCTCGATGAGCAACTATGTCGCGTATTCTGATCAAGATATCTCACCCAGAAATATTGAATCTTCCACGTCATTGAATTGAGCAATCAAGCCTAACTGACTTGGACTGAGTCTCACCTCTTCGGGGAAAGTCAGAACTAGGTCGTCGGATGAGTTCAATGGGAGAGTGGGTCGGAGAAATGAAGATAGTTACTGAAATCAAACGCATAAAATGCTATCGCGCTCACTGCACCGGCAAGTTCAGCGAGTAGTCACACTCCGAGAGTAGAGAAGGACTGACACAGGGAGTAGTTGGTGATCGAAGTGTGGTTTAAGGCAGTCTCCAATTGCTTGAAGGCTGACAATTCAGCCGAAATTGCTGCAGGGGATGACATCTTGAGAGGTGAGGAGCGCTTTCCACATCTCCGGGAGTCTTTATGGGAGTCTTTGTATGTTGGTCACTGGTCCGCGATCCAGTCCAACTCGTTAAAGCCAAGGTCGCGCCGCTTGCAGTGTTGCATCTGCATCATGATTGAGATGGGGCAATGTTGGGCGCCTACTAGACCCCCAAAAATAGCATATCAAACAAGAGTTTTAGAGAAAGTTCAATCGTAGCTCACTGGAGAGCCCATCGACTTGGAGTTCTGGATATCGTGTTCCAGTGCCTCAAAGTGGTCCGATTGGACGAGTAGTGTTGTCCCAGGTCGGGTCGGGTCAGAGACCGGGTCGGGGTCGGGTCGGGCTATCTGCGCGACCCGACGACCCGGGTCTCAACCCGGGTCACGTCAGGTGCATTGACACGTGAGTCCCTGGAGGTCTGCGGCACCCTGCAACGCAAGCGTGGGGTTCTGGATCGCAGCCACGAGCCTGCAAATGTGACAGGCTGTTGATTTTTACGTTCCCACCTTTGTCCCACCCTGCGGACAACCCCGCGATCACGCCCCGCACAAACCCTAACCTGAATTTCAAGCATGTGATGGCCGTCTCGCAGATGAACCCGATGAGCAAGAGGAGGACGAAGACATCTGGAACATTGTTCAATATCTATTTCTCGCTCGCATACAACACTGCATACAAAATGCAACGCAATTTTTGTCTAATCTTCTGACCTCCCGACCCGGGTCTCGACCCAGACCCGACCCGCGACCCGACCCGACCCGGTCCCCCAGGTCGGGTCGGGCAAAATCCCTCGACCCGACCCACCTCTGACCCGACCCGACCTGCCTCTGAACCGACCCGACCCGACCCGGAACAACACTATGGACGAGATTGAGAACTAACACACACATAGCTTCCAATGGAGTCACCAAAAAACGAGTTGGTGATGGATTTGACCGCAAGGCCGCCGCCACTGACACGCACCATGACAGAGAGAATCGAAGACGTATGGAGGTCGAAAACTACATGCTGATAACCGAGTCTATATATCAATGATACGCCTCGGCAAGTGATATAAGATCAAATGTTGAGTGATCGCGACCCCCGGGACCACCTTCTGACTAGAGCATAAGTTCAAACGATGTATGTAGTAGACTAGAGCATAAGTAAAAACAACGTTTTTAATTACCAATCCCCGTCTGCTACTAAATCATCTTCCTCGTCCGAAAACCATGCATACAAGCTCTCAGGCTCCTCTTCGACAGGGCCGAGATCTGGCTCAATTTCATTGAGCATTTCACCGAGTCTTGCATAATGTTGGGGATCTGAGAATAAACATTGTCAGAGACGGATGCAAAAGCTTCGGAGGAAGAGCACTTGCCTAATCCAGCACCCTGATTGACGCCGCCCATGTACGCGCCAGGCCCAACAACGTCTTCACCTCCTCGCAGCTCCTTCAGGTTCGGGAGGACCTCAATCTTGTCTGGATACTCGTTGGACGCCATTTCTAATGCCCGGGTCCAGTGTGCGCTCTGATGCATCACGTGAAGCTCATTGAGCTTGTTGAATTCGGACAGTAGTCGTCGATACACCTCCCAACAGCTCTTCCGATTAACCGGAGGCTCTCCAATGTCCCGATATATCTGGGAGATGAGAACCTCGAAATCCAATGGAACGAGCTGGAAAATCTCGTGGTCGGGAGGCGCATACATGTCACGAACCTTCTGAATCCCGACAGGATCAGCTTTGATCTGAATTGAACAATTTAATGAAAAATACAATCCTTTCAGTGAGACCATCCACGTACCTTGAAGTCGAGAATTGCGTAGTCTTCGGGAAATTCGAACATGTGGCTGGGGACACCATTTGGAAGAATTTTGTTGCGGTCATGTCGTTTGGCAGTATTATTGACGCGATTTCGGTAGTTGTCTAGTTCTGCCTGTAGCCACGGAATAAAAACCCAGCGGAACACGAGACTTGAGTGAAAGTTTTCAGCATCAATCAAAGGAAGATAATCGGAGATACTCACGCTTCAAGAAGAACACCAGGATCATACCATCCTTGATTCACACCAAAATCGAGGATATCCTCAAAGCCTGGTGTGAATCGGCGACGCATCTGGCTCCAAGTAATCTCTGGCTTGACATTCTTCTTCTCGCGCATCCAGCGATGTTGTGATGTTCCAACCAGAGAGGGATCTTGATAGTGTCGAAGCTGAGTGTGTCCGTTAGCAAGCCCAACGTTCTCTGAGCCTGGATCACTCTGAGACACAAGTGGCATAACTTAACATGCCAAATAATGAGTACAGGTGCGATAAAAAAATAAATTGGGAATCACATACCTCCAAGATTCTCGATCACATCAAGATAGTAACTAAGAATAAGTCGAGGATTGTTATTGTTCCACCAGATCCTCATCCAATGAATGAGACCAAGGAAAGGATCGATGCTGGTGTGAAGTGCAAGACCGAACTTGTACTTCCACTTGTCATGTTGGTCTACAGCCCAGATATCATTAGCACCAGCAGCCCAGAAGCGCTTGCGTTTGAAATGGCGCTGTCGGCGTTCTCGGACTAAATCTGGCTCATAGACACGAAAATAGTGCATCACTGTCTCACTACATGATGATCCATCAGGTCTGGGAGAGCACCAAGAAATTTTTGACGCACCGTGCAACCCGGATGTTCTCCTCATGAAAGAGGAGGCTGACCATCTCTCGACCTCCAGCCTTTGGATAAGTGATGCGAAGTTTGGAAATCGGAGTCACAATAGATTCAACCGTGTGACCTTGTGTTCGAGCTCGAATATACCCCAACTTTTCATGAATTTTACGGAACGATGCGATTCTGAGTTGAGTTTTAGAGAAAAAAATTCGCAAAATTCTTGATAAGATAATGACTCACTCCAGTCCATACTTGGAGAGATCAATATGATGTTTCTTGAGGAGAGCAAGGATAGCAACATCGGACTTATTTTGCTTCCAGTACTTAGCAATGAATGGTTGAAGGTCCTCTGCAGGAGCTAGAGCGCAGTTCGTCAGATTAACAACACAAAAATCATGTATATAGATATAACACACGGATGGGCTTGTGCTGATTCCGCCCCATGGCAGCGTGGTCTGAGATGACAGAACAAAGAGCAATGTGACGACAGTAGGAAGAGTGGGATTAACCTGAGAATGCATGAGTATAATGTTCAGTCTTTATAATGAGCTAGCCTCGCCGCAATCCGGATCTATGAAGTGCTCAGGAGAGGAGCACTTCACAGGCAATCGGGTGATTACGGAGAATGGGAACGGGGAATGTTAATGATGTATGCATGGCAAAAATGCCGCTCGGAGCATACAGGAGAATTATTGGTCTCCAAATGATGGAGGCAAGCACAAAAAGTATATCTGAGCGCGCATAATCTCATATTATCTGCATGTGTTGATCCGTAATGATCTTCTGCCTATTTTTATTTATTTTCACGTTGGTCACATCCGGATGTTGAGAGATATCGGGAGAAGTCGGAAATGAGGTCAGAGGTGAGGCATGGACCATAAAATGTGAGAGGGATATTCACTTCAGGACCGTGGTCAACTCGCCTTCCTTCCAATTTTCTTCGATGTCAAACGCTGGTGTGCTCTACGCCAAATTCACCAATGATGCCACGGTTGATATTCCTTTTGAATGTCGATCTGGCCGTCGTTGCAAATCGACTTTGCGCACTGATACTGCCAAAGGTCTCATAGTCATGCCAGGCCAACCCCGATTCACAGTCGAGAGCGCATCTCAGGTATCAGGCAGCCGGGTTGTTTGTGAAGCGTGCTATGTATATTATGATGGGAAGCGCACCAGTACACGAGGAGGTACACTTCTCAGTTGACAAATTTTCTTTTCTGATTCTTCCTACTTAGCACCAGGTCCTTCAGCAGCACGTCCTCTGCTGCCGCCACCTGCCACTCCAAACCTGGAAGCTGAACGAGAGGCAATCCGACGCCAGAACATTGAGGGGAGGCTCGGTGGTATGTGTTGGCTTTTATTCGATGTATTTCCCTTCTGACATCCAGCAGACAAGTCTCTTGGAGGTCAAATTGCCCCCATTGGCGCTGGTTTGATGGCTCCTCCAGCAATAATTCCGCAAAGACAGAGTAGTGGCTCATCAGGTTTGTGCATTTTTCTTAACCAAACCGAATCTATCAAATGTTTTTATTTATTTCTAGTCCCACGAATTTCTGTGCCTAATCAGTTGGCGGTTGGTCAACTGGCTGTGGCTGCTCCAAATTCTGCTGCGGCTGCTTCGCAGTTCAACAGTCAGGGATATTCCTCTGCACATGCTAGCTATGGGTCTCAATATTCTCTGTGGGGAAATATGGCCTATTCTGGTCTATCTCGGGAGTTTCTCACATTAAATATTGGTGTTCGCCACGAATTTCCTGGGAAACCAAACGGTGTGGTCTTTGGGGTATGCAAAATTGTCCCCCCTACAAGTCTCCTGCACTGATTTTGCTTCTAGACTATCAACGAGGGCAAAAACATCAGTGCTCAAGCAACAGCAAGTGAGATCATCCAACTTGTGCTCGAAGTTGGTGGCGGAAAGCTTGCTGCCCAAATTGCAGAGGAGACCGCTTCTCAGTTTGTGTTCAACACCACTACTTTTGTTGTGCGCCAATTGGAAGGCTGGATCAACATTCATGAAGAGCCGCCGCACCAACCACTCCTGTATCACCGTTACCTCAAGCTAGGCACAGGCAAAAAACAGAATACCCTGGACTTTCATCGTCCTGCCAGGGCGCTTGTTTTTGTCCTTGTCATTCCTTACAAGGAATGGCAGCGCTTCCTCAATTTCCAGGAGGAGCAAATTGAACAGAGCGAGTCCAAAGGTAGTTCAATTAATCTACAGGTAAGTCCGTTTTCTCAGAGTACAAAGTCTGGTTGCTTATCCATTTCTTAGGCTGAATTTACTGAAGCCACAGAGCCTCTGGTCACTGAGCCTGCACAGTCCAAATCACGTATGCAGACTCGTTCGCAAAGGAAATCAAACTCAAGGACGACTCAGACAGTGGTGCGTCAATTTGAACCATTCAGTATTTCACCATTACTGATCATGAGACAGCCTCGGTCATCCATTCGAACTCGATCCATGCAAGGATCTGTCTCTGATCAAACTCGGGATGTCCAGTATGAGCTCTACAATGCAGAGATCATCTCCCAAAACACCAATGACAACTCTGTAAGTGAATCATGGCCTGAAGGTACTCATACTGACTTATATTTCTACTTTACATTAGATTTCTGCTGATACTCCTTCAAAAAAGCGCTCTGCCGAATCTGACATCGAGGAATTTCAGCCCTTGGACAGGCAGAGATTGCGAAATGCTCTGAATGCTGGCGGTGCCTCTGTTACTGTCTCCAAGAGTGCTCGTGAGTTGATTATCTTGATTAACTGGTCACTGATGAACACATTTTTCAGCCATTCACACATCTGAAACAATTGAGTTCTTCCGGATTCGCCCCAGCGGTCTCCAGGATTTGCTCAGGGAAAATCGAGCATTCAAGATTGAGATGTCCGCAGCCGAGGGTGGTACTTTGGCTCTAAAGCCATCAGCATCTCCTCTCGGTGTTGGAACATTCAAATCTGCTCATTCTGCCTACCTGACACTCACCCGACTTTCGGATACCCCATTGGGTGCCTCCCCTGGTCAGCATGTTGCGCTTAAACGCATGTTCAGGACCAGAGAGACGTTGAAGCGATTTGACCCTGTGAACGAGTATGAACACACCATTTCCGAGGCTAATTTGCTCTTCTGGGGCACAGCCATCCTTCGTTTCACCATGGGTTGGATTCACAATTTCATTGGCAAGTACGGGGCGCCGCCCGATGACCTTCCCATATTCGACATTCGATTTGTAGAAGCCCATATTCGACATTCGATTTGTAGAAGCTGGAAATGCCATGGTTCATGAAGCTGCGGCAGCTGGGAGCTCTAGCAAGACAATGAGTTCTCTTCGACGGACCTACCTTCTAGAAGAGCTCATTGGAACAGGTAAGGAGATTTTCACAGTTAAAGCCTCTGCCTTATACAGTTATTTTCAGGCAAATTTGTCAAATACATCAATAACAATAGTGCAACTCCGGTTGCATCTCTCAGCCCTGATAGGCGTTCTCTTGCAGAGTTCCTGTGCTTCACTCAACATGTTCAATATGAGCAAACGGATGGTCTTGTTTTTCTCTCTGACCTGCAAGGTGAGTATTCTGGATTGGATATATATTCACGGCTTGGTTCTAACCCACCTTTTACTAGGATCCGGTGCTCTGTTGACTGATCCGCAGATTATGACATCCCCGTAAGTCCTTGAATGACCCGGAACTCCAAACACTGCTTGAATCTGCTTAGTTCCCTTGATGGTGGCCTCTTTGGTGGAGGAAACTACGGAAAATTCTTTGAGCAGTTCCCTGAGCAGCATGTCTGCTCTAGATACTGTGAGTTTTTCAAGTTATCTTCTCTCCAAGAAGATTAGCGAAAGTATTTGGGCAATGGGTATATTATTATGGAGGGAGACTCATTCTCCCCCGTAAACTCTATATATGTTGACAAGCATTGAAACGCCCTAAGTGATCAGTGGTGTGGCTGTGACGCATTAAGGTGCACAGCATTTGGTGGCTAAACGCTACGGGGTCTCTGATGTGCATGAATCAACTGTTGATCACTTCATCATGTCACCTGTGATAGATGTGCGCCGCGTATCAGCATGTAGTTTTCGACCTCCATAAAGACGCGGGCGGGGCTCGATAAGGGCTCGATCGTGAACTCGTGACAAACAAACAGATATTGATCGGATCTTGGTTTCCGACCAGTGCTTTGATTGCAAGAAGCGAGGGGGTTCAGATTTCCCTTGATGCATTGCCGAAGTCCCGCTGCAGATCTGAGCGGGAGAAACACTTGTACAGCTTCAGAGACAGATAAAGGTGGCATGATCTCAGGCTTACCACTCTGAGGTATGTCTTTCCCGTGATATTGTCCGGCCCTTCACCAGTATCTATCAAGGAGGGGATGTTTGAGATCGCCCAACGCCAACCATTCCTCTCCGAGCTATCAACTTCCCACCGCACCCAGGAGCGAGGAACTCTGATCCGAGTGAATGATGCAGAGGGATTCATATGGCAGTCCTTGCCAAGTAGACTTGGACGCTTTCGTGTTACAGACGGGAAGCAATCTCGCACTTAGACTCAGAGGGTTTCAAGAAACTACAGGTGCCCTGAAAGCGAATCAGATTTGTCTCATGTGAGGTGCTGGATCTGCGATTGAACCGTACGCTTACAGGAACAGGGACACATCTCTCCTCTCTCCATACGCCGCTCCCGAAACCATTTCTGCGGGCCGCTCTGCCGAGGGTACTGCATCGATTGAGTCTCAGTTTCAGCCAAAGGGATGGTCAGAAAGATGCTCGCATCTGCTTTGCGCGAATTCCCAGAGCCGCGTGCTCAGAACTAGTCGTCATCGTATTCGAGAGCCACTTGGCACGAGCTGGGATAGTGAGATATTGAGTCGCCCGAGCGGATTGTGAATGCGTAGAGTCAGAAGCAATGAACCTGCCGCAGGATTCACTCAGCCAATGAATATCCTGCATCGTACAGTTTGCTCGCTAGTATCACGGGGTGGCAGATCGCAGTGCGTGGGCATACGAGGTCCCTAGAATCAGACAGACACAGGTAATGCAAGCAGCAAAAAAGGATGGTCCTTTCTAGAGACTTGATCTTCGGCGACGCACAGTCGAGAAAAATCTCTTCTCACGTCAGCACCGCCGACCCGATGATTTGCGATGCCGTATTCCGGGACACTTGTCAGATCTCCCAACCCGGAGAACAAGAGTTCAAATCATCACAAGAATAGCAACGAGTCGGAACTCGGAAACTGTATGTCTGCCCCAGATTTGCTTGAATGGGCGAGTCTCGGAATTCGTTGAGTTTACTTGTGGCATGGAGAAACTAAACGAGCCTGGCCCAAACCGGATGTTTTCATCGATTGCGGAGATCACTCCCAGCAGAAAGGCGAAATTCATTGATTTGCAGATCGAGCAGTGGGCCATTATACGAAGCGGGGGAAGCGCTCTCTGTCGGTAAAGCGATGGATGCAAGGAGGAAGCGATTCATGAGGATAACGACTGCTGATTGGTTCGCTGCTCAGATTCGTATGGACGAGACACAACGTACGAGTCCTTCAGAGCATGATTCTCAAACATAAGATCCATGTGATTCCCGCTCTCACTCAACCTTCTCGTCAGAACGCATCCGGTTGTTCCATCTGGAGTTGCACCGTTCAGTAGAGTTTGGAGAAGCTGGCGAGTGCTAGAGAATTCCGAGAATGAGATAGTGTTTATCTGTGGGCCGACTGACTTCCACCTGCGAGAAGGAATTCGCAATGGAAGGCCTAAATGCTTTGAAGGATACGTTTAGGAGGGCGGAGGTCATAAGAGTGCAGCATATTATAGAGGAATGACCATTAGTGTCTCATTAAACTTGAGTCTCATTGCATATGTGGAAGAGCGGGAAGGTCGCACTCGACGGTCCAGACGACAGTCTCAATGAGAGCCTGCAAGCCAAGCTTAAACAAGCGCGTCGCACGTGCCATCAATGCTTGCTGTTGTTAACTGTCTTTCTGCAACTCTCCGGCTACAGTTGCTTGCGCAGTATGAGCCAGTCTCAACTTTCAAGTTACCTTGACTTCGCCCGGATGCAGACCGTTGGCTGCATTGAGTTAGTGTGTCTGTCCCAGAAGGCCCTGAGGCAACACCCGTCCCATACACCTGGATTTACATCAACGCCTGAATCCATGGTTCTTTCGTCTTCCTGTGTTGTCTCTCCGTTCCACCAGTCTTCGAAAAGCAGAAATCAGCTCCCCACGCGAATCGCACGCGATCTCACCACTTTTCATTGATGCTCCCAACCAGTCTTCGACATGGCGACGAACAGCTCTTCGCGTGTCCTGCAGTACGAGGCGCAACATTCTGATACCGAACTGAATGGAATGCGACATGGCACGCTCGCGATCGCCTCCTGCATTGCGCACAGCATGCGCCGAATCTAGATCTCGTTGCGCATCACGACAGAATATTATGTGCGAGCTTTCACACGCGCAGGTTCCGCGTGGTCCACTGGCGGGAAATCGCAGTCGACGTCATGATCCCATTGAGCGCGGTATCACTTATAGTAGGGCTGAATATCTGGAGTGACTCTTGCCAATCCCTTCTCACTCGTCCTCGATGTCTTGGCAGTCTACGGCGGAGATGGTGACACAGCTTAGGGAGACACGAGGGACGACCCCCCCAGCCCTGGTGGTTCGTCGACCGTGTCTGATAGTCATTATCATCTCTGACCCTTCTGCAGGGAGCCACGACGACTTGCGTGGGCTCGAAAATGTATCTCTACGTGAGTCTGATTTGCCTTGCAGCTGGGGTTTCGCAGGTTGACGCGCATCAAGGGAGGTTCCCGTCCAAGCGACGGTGTTTCTGTCTCGGACTTGTATGTGCTTGATCTGCAGCTTTTCCGATGGGATCAAGTCTTTCCGGTCGAAGGGAGCCCTGTTCCCTCGCCCCGCCACTATCACACAACAGATCTTTGTTGGTCATTGCTGGGCTCCCGGTACTCGATCCAATGCTTACTATTGATTGGTGCAGGGCAGAACTATCTCGTGGTCTTCGGTGGACAGACTCGCAGCAAAGGATCGAAAGTATCCCAAACTCTCAGCGACGTGCAGCTTTTCGACCTCTCGACACATTCCTGGCTTTTGCCTTCGCGCGCACCTCCTATTATTGCCTTTCCTGCATCCCTCCCTGTCATTCAGCCGCGCTATTCTCATTTAAGCTGTGTGTCAGGTAACCATCTCCTCGTGTTTGGGGGCGAAAACTTTCCAGGACAGCTGTTGGATGATATTTGTGTGTATGATCTGGAGAAGCACGAATGGGTCCGACGGCATACTTATCTTCATTTTGTCCATTCCGGAACGTCGGCCGTGGCGACATCTCGCTGGCACGTAAAAACGTTTAGACAACGTACCCAGGAACTTGCCCACATTGCACCGCAGCCCGTCCCGCTACCGTATTCGGAACACGCTACTCAGCAGTCTCTGTGCGATATCCATGTCTATCACATGGTGCGTGGACTGCATTCAAAGTGGATACTCCATGACATTTCTCCCAGGGAGAAGTATCGCGCCCCAGAATCGACGTCCTGTCTCCGTTGACCGACGGGCGTATTCAGGTGCAGAGCACACCACCTGACGCAATTGGCCGACTTCCTCTGTTGCGCTGTCCCAGCAACGCCATTCTTGGAAACAGTCTGATTCTAATGGGAATTGCGGAGGACAATCGTCTGGTGATTCGTACATTCGATATGGCCACGAAGATCTGGACGGCAGCCGCGCTCGGCCGGACGCTCCAGGACGGGGTCTGGGCGAGAGCCTGCATCTCCCATGCGCAGAGCAAGCTCTACTTCTTTGCCAGCCTCAAATCGGCGGTGGGTCCCCAGCATCCGATTTTCTGGGACACACTAGTCACCGTCGACTTGGAGGCAATCGGAATCTACCAGCCGCCGTCGCACAAGCTCTGTCGCGTGGATCAACTGCGTCGGCTCTTGTCGCTGGAGAGTGGGCAGAACATGGATTTCGCGTTTGTCTGCGAAGATAAGCGTCAGATCCGCTGCTGTAAGCAGCGACTGGCGCAGGCGTGGCCTTGGTTCCGCGAACATTATTCCATGATCAGCGGCGGTCAGCCCAGCAAGATTCATTATGGAAAGCGCACGCAGTTGACACTCACCCTGACGAGCTGCTTTTGGACCCAATCGTATCCTGTAACCCTGGCCCTGATGCAGTACTTCTATTCTCTCTCGCTGGACACGGCTCTGCAGCGCGCTCCTGCTGTGCTCAGTTATCTGCTGTTGATATCGACCGAGTTTACGATTCCTCACCTGCAGGCGCTGGTCAGACATGCCATGCACATCGAGCTCTCTGAGGCCACGGCCCTTGGGATATATGACGCGGCTGCGTCCTGTAGGTGCCGAAGCTTGCAGATCCGGTATGCCATGTGTGATCCATCCGCTCCGTCACGACTGAATGCGGCAGTGCCTTTACGATGCATAAGAGAAGAAAGGTGCGGCCCGTTCGACACTCTATCTAAGAGGGACTGAGTCTATCTGCAGCAGCTCGATAACGTTGCAGATAGATTACCTTCTCAGCGCGAGATTGGCAGAGCACGCTCAAACTCTCAGGGTGCCTGGCGATCCGCCCGTGCGTGGTCCGTGCTTTTCAGTCTCATGTACTGACGGACAGCCTCAAGGAGAGAGCAAGCCTCTACCACGCTCTCCCAGTGCCGGCCCTGGGTCTCCACCCGCCGCCTCAGCCGCACAGTCGCGCAGGAAAGATCACTCCGTGGAATCGCGCATGAGCCACTCCAGCGGCTCCAGGGTGGGCGATCCTCCCACATTCAGAATCGTCGTTACACCACCGAGTATCCCCAGCAATCTCAAACGGTCACAGTCCCTCGGTTCTCGTCTCCCGCGTCCTGTCTCCAGGCCGAAATTGGGCTTGTCTAGTTCCTCGCCTCGGCACGACTCCGTTGTGAGCGTTATGCAGATGCCCTTGACTCCCAACTCCTTTGCCCGGTCACGTCTAGCCGGTATGGGGATACCTCCAGCAGAGGGACCACGAGAGCAGAGAGGTAGGCGAATGGAGAGGTAGACCGTTGAAGCACGACCGTGAATTCATAACACGGTGTGCAAAGTACGCATTCATTAAAGATTCTTGCATGTCTCGGCTTGCAATATGTAATATACAGATGATATGGGATGGGATTTGAGGCAGCAAGGTGAACAGTAAGATGGCAGAGCTGCGTGTCGCGCCGCGTCTCTGAATAAAAACGATGAGCTGTTTGTTGTCTCTTCCGGGGGTCCAAACGCACAGATTTTAGGCTGGGATCATCATCTCGCCCCATGTTCGTATAACCACAATTCCAGCCACGAAGGCCCCGACACCGGTCACCAGGCTGATGTTACCGCTCAGTTTCTCGGGGGCCATGATTTCCGTGCGGATGAAGCGCGAGAAGGCGGACTCGTTAGGGTCATTTTTGGCACGGAGCTGGGACTGGCTCTGGGGAATGTAGGCCGGGCCTGAGTGAGGAGGAGCGCCGCGGAGAGCCATGGAATACAAAGGTCGTGTGGTGGTCTTAGTGGTGGTGATGCAGAAAATGCGTGTACGTAGCGGAGCTTGAAATAGTTTGATCGCAAAGAGAAGAGTGTTTTACATTGGTCATTTCATTTATACAAAGGTACATGTACATGTACAATACAACAAAGGGAGCAGAGAGGAGTGATATTGATACATGATACCAGCCTGCTGGTATCTTCGCTCGTCAAGACCTGACTAGAGACCGAGAGCCGACTGGAGCAATTTGACTTGGCTGTCACCCAACGCCTTCAAGGCATTTACGTCGATGCTGCTCCTCTGTACACCGGATGGAACCTGTGAGCCAAATACAATGTCTGAAAACGGACAGGTTAACACGCGGGAAGGAGGCGGCGACGTATAACCTACAGGCAACATCAGCTTCGGGATGACCGTTGTTTCCGTCGATGGTACTGTCAGGGAAACAGCTCCGGCCAACAAGGATGGAAGCCTCGCCAATGACCTCAGGGCTGTCAGCGCTGCAAACATTCTCATGAGCATGAAGCCGCCTGCGGATGAATGGGCCCGCGCTCACTCCTGGTCTCCGTAGATTCCATAGAACATCTTCCCATTGCAGATGATAGCGCCTAGAGCGTTGTTCTTGAGGATGTCCTTGTTCTCCCGGGTGAAGCGCTCAGGCAAAACGAAATACGGAACTTTCGTCGCATCAAGCGCTCCGAAAGACGTCTCGGATTGTCCATCACGGTTTCCCTGCGGAAAGATGAGATGAGAGACACAGCCACTCAGTCGGAAGTACCTTGCAGTTAGCCTTCGGACCGTCACAGTCGATGTCCATGTCCGCCATGAAGTGGAACGCTGAGACACCCGGAAGCGAGATCCAATCGCCGTAGATGCTGGTGATGGTCTTCCGATTCGCTTGTGTAGGGTAGCTGGCGAGAACTTTGCTGTGCGATCCTTTCGTCGCAGCGTAGATTCCTGCGACGTTGATCGACGCATCTGCCTCAAAGTTGGGAGCAGGCGAGTGGACGGGCCGAGCCGGTGAGTAGATGGGCCGAGCCGGCGGATGGTGATGATGAACGGCGCGAGCCTGGATAGAGGTGACAGCCAGAGCGAAGAGTACGAAGAGAGAGCTGAAGAACGACATGTCGGATTCGTAAAGAGGTCGGAAAGTTGAGGGACGTTCAATGCTTCAGAGAGGCGGACCAGGTGGGCTTAAGTACCCTCCAAGGCTGGAGATCGCGACTCATCTCGAACTTCCGCCGTGCGCATTACTTTTCCACTGGCAACAGCCAGAAATCCGGTGCTTCTCGGCAATGACTGGATGACCAACGTACTAACTCAGCGAATGAGCAGCAAGCCCGAGGTTCCGAAGTCCATCGCAACCAGCGAAAACATGGGCTACGGGAAGATGATCCGGTGAAAGTCGGCCTTAGCGCGTCAGGAAGGCGGAATCTGACGCGTGCTTCTTGTTGAGGATGAATAGAACGTGCTGGTACCTTTTGCCACGAGGATATCGAGTTCGAGCTGGCAGAGAATCAGTTAATAAAGCCGAAAATGGACCCCTTCAGGAGAGAGCGGTATACCCGAAGAGAGGTTAGCACATGAGCTCAGGATTAGCCGGAATAAGTATCGGTGGTAGTGTTATGGAGGAGATACGGAGATGGTGGCGGTCGAGAAAGAGGCAAAGGTCGAAAGAGAGATTGAGATCAAACGATCGCGGGCTTCGAGAAGGAGACAGAGATTAAGCCGTTGTGTACGATAGTGTGAGCCGACTGCACAGCGCAGAGCCAAGCTGCGCTCAATTAAACTCGTCTACCGCGACGTGCGGGTAAACTGTCTTCGTCAAGTCAACATCGATCGGGACGGCTTCCACACGGGCTCACTGCACATGCTCACCTGCGCAGACACGAAAAGACCGGGTTCTGCATTCAACGCCGTATGTAGCCATAGCAATGTTCTTCTCGCCGTCGTTCCAGCCCTATAAGGCGATCGAGCATCTCCTCTGAGTGTGTCAGTCGCAGCGTGTTGACCGGAGCGAGAAGGTCTTCGAAGGGCTCATAGAGAAGCAATACACAAGGTGCAAGCCCGCGGATGGAATCTACGCAAACAGGTAAATGCGCACAGAGAGAGAATCCACGGACAAGATCGTGCGATGTAGGAATTCGAGCTGTCACGTGCGAGGCATGCAGCACGCGCTGCGGGGTCGCCGCACCGAGGAGTCCGAGCGTTACTAGCTCGGGCTGCATGCCCCAATGGGTCTCACAGACTGATATCTGCTCTGGGCCATCTAAGAGTTCGAACCATCTCCTCGCGTGCAACTCGGATCCTATCGACAATTCCTAGCTCCGGCGACCGCGAGCCGCGCGGGCGGTCTTCGGACCCAAGCAAGTCAAGTTAGGCATCCACGACGTTTCGAGCCCGTTCGCACAATCGGCCTGAGTCATTGAGTGCTGGTACTCGGGGGCACGTTCCTACACGAACAGCTGGGCTTCAAGGCCTAGAAGTGCCGAATCGGGATGATACTCAGTTGTCCACGCGTCCCAGGCCAGTCTACTCCCTGTTAGCATGTCAAAACTGCTGACTGGAGGCTTCCGGCGCCTAGTATCACAAGATGCTATCCGGGAAAGTTTAATCCGGTGGCTCTCATCGAGACGCTCCAGAGTTGGGCTAAATCGAGACCCTTCTGCAGCGCCTGCTGCCTGGCTATTCCACGGCACAGATTGCACCGGAGAGCCACTCCTGGTCTGCATTCTCAGCACATGGGCCGTTAGATACTTGTGCAACCGGGGCCGTTTGCCTAAACCGGGCGGAAAGAAGATTAAGAATGATGAGATCAGTTTCGTCGGGACGATCCGGACCTCGGGCGTTATCTATCCACCGGACTGAATGTTGGAATCTAGACTATACGTGGTCGGGGACTTGCATAAGGCCAATTTCTTCAGGTACATCTTGTTACATTTGGATGTTTGTTTCTACAGGGTACATATATTTATTTATTATAGCCAACTACCAAAACGGGGAAGCAGGCGCAGAGCCATAGTTCTTCATCTGGCCTTTTCTAGGGCTGGGTCGCAGGGGGATGTATTCATCGCCAGTGTCCTCGACTGTATCATCGGGCTCGAAACTTCCGTTGACCATGAAATCCTCCCCGAGCTCTAAATCCTCGTGGGCCCATTGCACGAGCTTTCCTTGGCCGGTGCGGCGCAAGGAGTGAGGTATTGTGATGGAAGGAATTTCGAAGACGCGTAAGCGGTCGATGAGCGGACTGACTCGGTTCTGAATCACAGAAACAGAGATCCCATGCCCGCGATAGGATATTACAGTGCACAAGACAACCACGGCGCTACAAGTTTTCTATTAGAACATAGAGTCGCGGATCATTGGATTCTGCTTACGATATGACAATGAAAGCGAGGACAAGGGAGATCCTGGATACGCGTCGTTGATCAGGGCCTCGGAAATCGTCGGAGTGGTCGTCTGGGTTATCGGGTTCGGACGAATTCTGGGGAAGTTGTGCGTCGCTATCTTCTTCAAACGCATGCAGCGGCGTGCATGAGTGAGGAGTGTGCCAGCTGAACGTATCACATTCCGAGTCCACTCCAGAGTAACGAGGCTGCTTAGAAGCGCTGTGAATAAAATGGAGGATATTGCTTGTACGTAATTGTAGTACCTGTGCAACATCTCGAGTTGTGCATTCATAACCGATCCGCGCACAGTACGGACGTTTCCCAGAGATCTTCAACGTGAAATAAGCTAGAGCGTGGTGAGCACCTGCAAGGATGATAACCATGCGTCCCATGACACACCTGGGAACTCCACCAGATCCAGTACATCCGGGACAGCACTGGGCTGGCCAAGTTCAACTCCAGCTGAGCCCGAACCGGCATCGAAGGTGTATTCTGTGCGCTCATCTCCCCATGCGAGGGACCAGCGACGAGCGCCTCCCCTGAGGAGGGAGCACAGATCGTATTTCCGGGACGCCACTTCCACACGGCATGATTTCAGAGGATCGATAGCGAGTGTAGTGCGTCGGAGAGAATCCGCGTTCGCCAGAGAAAGCAGGGGCAGAAACGAGCCCCAGAAAGCGGAATAAATGACTTTCATGGAAGGGATCGATTGGGGGAGGGAAAGCGTTGGCCGCGCATGTTTCTCGCATGTCAGTGTCTCCGGAGGGTCTCGTGATAGAACCTTGATCAGGTGGGGTAAAGGTGGAGTCCAGGCTGTCAACCCAGCCGATCAGAACCGATCCGGTGAATAATTAAAGTTTGACAGAGAGACAGCGCATCAATGATGTATGATGATTCCGGGCCGCCCACGATGTGGTACTTACTCACGCACGCTTCCAACCGACTTTCTGATTTCTTCCACCGGTTGCAATCGCTCAAGCGGTTTTTTCTTGACTACAGACGTCACTAAATTTCCATTGACTCGGTACAATTTTCCGTGATACTGGACAAGGGCAGCTGTGCTGGACAACAATTGATGTCCGTTCCGTTCAATTTACCATCGTCCTGCAGTGATGGTTGAAGTGTACTGAGCAAAGCCCATAGACTATGCTCACATTGTAAGTGCAATACGGCCATCCGTTGCGTCCCATCATCTTGCTCATGCGCTGTTCGGCATATCTGGACAAGCATCAATTCTAGCCGCGGTAAAATAGAAGCCGGGACACTGGCCCACAGACGACATAGACAGGCTGAATTTCACGCAGTTCGAATATGTAGTTTTGGCCGGTCGTTTTGTCGTGCAGCTTGTTAGGACAGAGTGCACATTTACGCTGATGCGTGTCGACTGCCGCGACGAGAGAGACCAGGAACAGTCCAAGGCAGGCGCGAGCGGAGATCATGCCAGGAGTTTGCTGGCATTGCGAGGTCAACGGGCGAGCGGTACTTTATGGCACTAGCGTCATTGGATTATTCATCTTGAAGGTTATAGATGCGCTCGTTGGCCATGGGCAGAGAGCGAGTGCATTGACGAAGGAGTCTAATTCAAATGCTTATTCGAAGTAAGAGTCCTGAAGTCGCGGAACGTGGGCGGCACAGTTGGGCCCGAGGGACAAGTCCTGTCAGGGACTACATCCCAAACGGACTGCATTGACCAGTTTTCATTGAACTGTGGTCCAACATGGTGCTTGGAAACACATTTAACCTGAAGACCGGCCAGAGACTAGAAACGGTCTGTCCGAAAGTTCAGGATCCTGATGCCAAGGTACGACTTTCAGTGCAGATTCGCCGGGTCGAACGGAGACTCGCGAGTCGGGTCTGACGGCTAACATGGGACGAGATCTGACAAGCACCGAGTGGCGCTCGTTACCGACGAACAGAACCTGTGATTGGGGACCCGGAAAGTTGTCTGGCAAGGAGACAGTCGCGGAAGCGAGAGCCCCCTAACCAAACTAGCATAAGTCCATGACGAGACAGGCTCGGACGGAGATGAAATGTGAGTATGTATGTGACAAATTCCGAGCGGTTGTTCTGCTCACTCGTCGACTATCACTGATTCTGATGGATGTGTCAGCCACGAGTTACAGCGCACCTTCTGCTCTCAGGATACTGTATGGCCCGACGAGTATGTAAGTGGGGTCGCGAGTTTGAAATTGTGCATGGAACCGATGGCCCCAGCCAGTGTCGCCAGGGCTAGACTACCGGACGTTTCCACCGCAGATCTTAAGCACTGCGGAGGCCGGCCCTGATTAATGATTTCTGCCCACGTTCCCAGGGTTGTTCCGGGAGAGTGGTGGAAGACGTAACGACCTCTATCCAGTCCCGCGGTCCCGAAAAAACATTGAGATTCTGTAGCGGCAAGCTCGGTGGCGCTGGCGGATGCGAATGCGCTCGGATGGAGAGACAGCAGGGGCACAGGCTGTTTCGGTCAGAGAAAATCGACAACATCGACGGGCAGAACAGCAGCCGATGTTTGAGTCAGTTTGTGCACGGCGGAGGTCCGGTTAAGCCAGATTGGTTTCGTTACCCTTTACGGCGTCGCAGCAATCCATCGAGCTTCCTCAGCATGGCGTGTCTGACAGAAGCCCACAAAAGCACTGTGCATCTTGTCACCAATCCTCTTCTTCTCCTAAACTAACTTCTCCCTCCCTCGCCGCCGCCGCGCTCCCCCCCTTCTTGATTTCGATGGGTTCCCCTTGGGCCGTCGCCGGTGCTCTTCTAGTGGGCTTGCTCATTTGGCACAAGAAACGACTATCTGCCCGGGGTGCTCTCCCGCCAGGGCCGCGGCCCCTGCCGATCCTAGGTAATATCCTCGACCTTACTCCGAAGGAGCTTTGGTTGGTGGCTACGACCTGGGCGAAAGAGTTTGGTGAGCTCGCCTTGCACACTCAATCGCCCATCTCTCATAGAATATGCGTACAGGCGATGTCGTCCATGTTCATATATTGGGCCAAGGCCTTGTTTTTGTACGTTTTCTGTCGGTCTCTCGTTCTGCAGACATTGACGGCGCGCGTGCAGTTATCGAGGTAGACGCGTTTTCTCGCCGACTTGGCGCGTTTTCGCTCACCGGCTTCCAGTCCCGAAGCGACGATGGATCTGCTGGACAGAAAGGGCTCAATTTACGGCGACAAGCCGACCCTAGTGATGGCGGGCGAGCTGTGCGGATGCGATGACATGGTGCGTATCCCTCGCTCTCTACTTGCTCCCCCTCGCTGGCGGCTTACGGGATGCTCAAGGTCGCGTTCACGCCTTACGGTGAACAGTCCAAACGACAAAGGCGACTAATGAACCGGGCCCTCGGCATGGCCGCCATTCCTGCCTATCACCCCTTAATCGAAACCGAGACCCACTCCTTCATTCGAAATCTGGTGGCTTCCCCCTTCAAGTACATGGAACACAGTCGCCGCTACGCTGGCTCTCTGACGCTGTCCGTTGTGTACGGCTATGAAGTCGCGGGAACCGACGACAAGTTCTTAACACTCGCCGAGGAATGCGTGGACATTCTGGCAAATAAGATCTCATCCGGCGGCGGAATCGTGCGTTGGCAGTGATTTCTTTGATCATGTGCACTAACCGTCGGTTCCAGTGGCCTGTGTGGGTGACATTAACCTGTGATCCCCCCCTTCTCTCACGCGCGAGCTCATTGACAGCGATATCTTCCCGGCTCTCAAGCACCTGCCCGCTTGGGCACCAGGGTCGGGCTTTCTCGCCAAAGCGGATAAATGGAAGGCGAAGATGACCGAGTGCGCTACAGCCCTGCTTGCTTCTACTGTCTCTAACGCAGGCCGGCCCAGGTTTGTCGAGCAACCTTACGAGTTCGTCAAAACCAGTTTGGTAAGCATTCGTCCAGTGCGGATCAGGAGATATTCATCTCATTCGCGTAGAAATCTGGGCAGTATGCCCCTTCGTTCTGCTCGATGCTGCTGGAAGATGCGAAAACGCCCACGCAGCAATTCGAATTCGATCTCAGATACACGGCGAACTCGATGTATGCGGCCAGCATGGACACTGTAAGCCCCATGATTGACACTTTGAGTGGATTGCTGATGCGCTCACGTTGCAGACCATCACCACTTTCTGTCATTTCTTGCTTGCGATGATGCTTCATCCCGAGGTGCTTGCGCGAGCACAGGAGGAGATTGACCGAGTAGTGGGATCCGATAGACTGCCAACCTTTTCTGACCGTGATTCTTTGCCTTTCGGTATGTTGTCAGACTGATTGGCAGACAAAAGTGCTAATCATGCTTCAGTGGACGCGGTCTTGAATGAAGTCTATCGCTGGGGAGTTCCAGTCCCGCTCAGTCAGTGATCTGCCACGGTTTTGAAGCATAACTTATTTCGTCAGGCCTTCCCCATCGCTTGATGGAAGACGATGTCTATCGGGGAATGTTCATACCCAAAGGGTCACTGGTGCGTTACGTTCTACTCCCAGTCGGGACTAGCACTGACAAAAGTCTCGACTGCACCTAGATCTTGGCCAACGTGTGGTATGATAGAGCGAATTACGCTGTTGCACTTCCGTTGATCACATGTCAGGGCGATTTCTCGGGACGAGGGTCTTTTCCCGAATGCGTCCGCCTTCCTGCCGGAGCGTTACCTGGAGAAGATCGACGATCCCGTCTTGGCTAAACGTCGAGATCCTCGCAGCTTTGTTTTCGTGCGTCCTCTGTTTCGTTCTCAAAGAGCCCGCGCTGACTAATGATGAATCCCATTAGGGATTTGGTCGCAGGTAACATGACTGATCACGCGTGCCACCTATCCCATATTTACCAGCATTCCAGACGTTGTCCCGGGGTCAGCCTGGTCGAGTCTTCGATCTGGATCCTCCTTGCGAACGCGATGGCGACATTAGACATCTCCAAACCCAAGGATGAATTTGGTAATGTTATCGAGCCGAAGGTAGACTTCAACAACTCTGTTTTCAGGTGTGTTTACGGTGGTCTCGCTGCTCGTCTGCTAACATATTTTCTAACACAGGGTACCGGATCACTTCCAATGTGACATCCGACCCCGGTCTGCGCACACACTAAAGGTGTTGCGTCAAACTGAGACCACACATTCGTAAATGCACGCACTGCTGATAGGCACGGCATCTCAACCGACTTGTATATATATATATATATTGCAGCTTAGTCCTGTTCTCCCGCGCTCACTAGCCTCTCTCTCTACATCCTGCATTGCAGCAATCGATCAATAAGATTGACGTCACTCCTTTAGTGTACCCACGTGATCGTGATCATCCAGCTCTGACCTGTACCACGACCACCAGGTCCAATTACCTTCAAGTCTGCCAGTTCAAAAGGGGCCTGCAACAGTCTGCTCATTCCATCATCACCCACTTATCTCTCTTCACATTAGCGTCAGGCATAACGCCATGGCTACTTCATTCGTAGTCGACACGTGTTGCCGCACACGCCTGAGCCTCGTGGTCTGGGTCCTGGGAATATGCCGATAATCTTCTTCTTTCATGATCCTACTTATCTCAGACCTTCTTTCCATAACGGCGCTCTTTATCTGTCAATGAGCAGTAACGCGATACCCTGGCAGCGCGACCCCTGGCCCAAATACTCGTACCCGCTAGATGTGCGCGATTTGACAGTGCCGTGGAACAACGGGCGGCCTGATGAGTCACCGGCTAGGAGCAGCGCAAGATCCGGGGCGACTGAGACGACTCTGGTAGATAAGGGGACGCTGCTTCAAAGTCCGGGAAGGGTGCGTCGGGGATTGAAGAGGTTATTTTCCAGTACGTGTCTGTGTGCTCTTGACTGGTTTCGCCGACTCAATCGTCAGGCAGGCAGGAGTAGGAAAGCGGCCAAGGATGCACCACCTTATCCAGAAAAACCCCAAATTCCCACACCCGACCCTGGCAT